GTTAAAATTCGCACGCAGATGCTTAAGACTGCTGGATGTTTTATTGTTAATTAGTTGCCGAAAAATAGCGTTGCTTATAATATTTGATTATCAACCCTTAACTCCAGATCATCCCTGCAACCACCCCAGAATAGGACGATTTCGGAAAATTCTCGTAGGTGGAATATAGACGCGGGATATTTAGTTGCTCATTAGTTGCTCGCCAAAAACGCAGTTAAGAGTATTCTACAATCAACCCCTCTACTCACTTAAAAATAGTAGACGGTTCGAATTTGCACGCAGATGTTTAAAACTGCTGGATATTTTGTTGCTAATTAGTTGCTAAGAACTTTCTTTTTTACTAATTTGTAGAATTAATACAATCGATTGTATGTCAACCTAAATTTGACGTTTAATACTTTGAAGTATTGGAAATACAAAAAATAATAAAAATTAAGATTATTTTTTAATTTAACATGCAAAAAATTTTCCTCACGCTAAGCAGCCGTGATTAAAAATACTCTAGCAGTTATTTTAGGCTTAATTAAAACGAAAATGAAAAGTTAACACTTTTCATTTCGTCAATTTGAGGATAAGATTTCGAACGCAGAAAAGAAATCTGTCATTGACAACTTTTCCTTCGAAAGTTTTTTTAATTAGAATAGGTATGGAGAATTTAATCGTCAAACTATTTTCGAATGTTTGAAATGAAAAAGAAACAGAGTAAAGAACGTGCGAAATTTCGATCGAATTTAATTTTTCGGTGAAATAGAGTAGGCATCCTGAGGTAAAGAGATTATTGTAGAACATTTTTAAACGTAAACTTAGCGAACAACTAATTAGCAATACGATATTCTGCAGTAATATACATCTACGAGCGTATTCTGGCCGTTTTTTTATTGTAAAGAGAAAATGATGGTCGATCTGAGGTGAAGAGACGATTGTAGAAAAATATCCCGCATTTTTTATAACCATAAGGGTGTCAGCTGGGATGATTTGGAGTTAAGGGTTGATAATCAAATATTAAAAGCAATGCTATTTTTCTGCAACTAATTAGCAACAAAATATCCAACAGTTTTAAACATCTGCGTGCAAATTCGAACCGTCTACTATTTTTAAGTGAGTAGAGGGGTAGGATCTGAGGTTAGGGATCATTGTAGAATACTCTTAATTGCGTTTTTGGTGAGCAACTAATTAGCAACAGAACATCCAGCAGTTTTAAACATCTGCGTGCGACTTCCAACCATCTACTGTTTCTAAGTGAGTAGAGGGGTTGCATCTGAGGTTAGGGGATGTTTGTAGAATACTCTTATCTGCGTTTTTGACGAGCAACTAATTAGCAACTAAATATCCCGCCGCTTTTTTCCACCTACAAGAATTTTCCGATATCGTCCTATTCTGGGGTGGTTGCAGTGCTGATCTGGAGTTAAGGGTTGATAATTAAATACTGTAAGCAACGTTATTTTGCAGCAACTAATTAGCAACAAAATATCCAGCAGTTTTAAACATCTGCGTGTGAATTCGAACCATCTACTATTTTTTCATGAGTAGAGGGGGTGGATCTGAGGTTAGGGGATGATTGTAGGATACTCTTATCTGCGTTTTTGGCGAGCAACTAATTAGCAACAGAACATCCAGCAGTTTTAAACATCTGCTTGCGAATTCCATCCATCTACTGTTTCTTAGTGAGGAGAGGGGTTGGATCTGAGGTTAGGGGATGATTGTAGAATACTCTTATCTGCATTTTTGACGAGCAACTTTTACAACAAGTTTACTTTACCTAATGTGAGGCAGGTTAATACTAGTTTAAAAATAAATGAGCAGCCTGTAGAGTTAGTGGATTCTACAAAGTTTCTGGGTATTACTTTAGACTCGCATCTGCAATGGGATCCTCATATTGATGCCTTATCAAGTAGACTGAGCTCTGCGGCCTTCGCTGTTAAAAAAATAAGACTCCTAACTGATGTGGAAACGGCAAGAATGGTTTACTTTGGTTACTTTCATAGCGTTATGTCATATGGCCTTTTGTTGTGGGGCTCAGCTGCTAATATAGAAAGTATTTTCGTACTGCAAAAGAGAGCTGTTCGCGCCATATATAATTTAAAGGCAAGAGAATCTCTTAGAGAAAAATTTAAAGAAATTAATATTTTAACACTGGCATCGCAATACATTTATGGAAATATAATATATGTAAGAAGAAACTATGACGCATTTGCAAAAAAAAGTCAAACCCATAACTTAAACACGAGATTTAAGAACAAGCTTGCCGTTCCATGTTTCAGACTCCAAAAATCTAGAGGTTCATTTCTGGGATGTAGTATTGCATTGTTTAACAAAGTTCCCCAAGATCTGATTGAGCTTCCACTAACCAAATTTAAATCTCAGATTAAGAATACTCTTATGAATAAGGGCTATTATAAAGTTAATGATTATCTAAATGATCGTAATGCATGGACATAGTGTTTCTTGTAATTTCTTATTTGATGGGTATGAGTCAGTTTTGTAACAGTAGTATGGTACCTATCTAATGCCGCTTCCTATATATACTAAATATAAAATTTGTTGTAACTATATATCTATACCCTAAATAATGTAATGGAAGGTGACTTCAGAAGTATGTCTGAAGTCATTTTTCAACTTGACGACTCTGTATATATCAATACAGGGAGAAAAAAGCAGCCCTTGCTGAGTTTCTTGCCGGTTCTTCTCAGTACAAGGTCTCCCGCCGTAGTTTTGCGAACCGATGGCGTAGCTTCTTGACTTTCACAAGTGCTTGTAACAGCCTAGACTGAATAAATGACTTTTCATTTCATTTCATTTCATTTCAACTAATTAGCAACTAAATATCCCGCCGCTTTTTTCCACCTACAAGAATTTTCCGATATCGTCCTATTCTGGGGTGGTTGCAGTGCTGATCTGGAGTTAAGGGTTGATAATTAAATACTGTAAGCAACGCTATTTTGCAGCAACTAATTAGCAACAAAATATCCAGCAGTTTTAAACATCTGCGTGTGAATTCGAACCATCTACTATTTTTTCATGAGTAGAGGGGGTGGATCTGAGGTTAGGGGATGATTGTAGGATACTCTTATCTGCGTTTTTGGCGAGCAACTAATTAGCAACAGAACATCCAGCAGTTTTAAACATCTGCTTGCGAATTCCATCCATCTACTGTTTCTTAGTGAGGAGAGGGGTTGGATCTGAGGTTAGGGGATGATTGTAGAATACTCTTATCTGCGTTTTTGACGAGCAACTAATTAGCAACTAAATATCCCGCCGCTTTTTTTCACCTACGAGAATTTTCCGGTATCGTCCTATTCCGAGGTGGTTGCAGGGATGATCTGGAGTTAAGGGTTGATAATTAAATTTTTTAAACAACCCTATTTTTCAGCAACTAATTAGCAACGAAATACGCCATAGTTTATATTCTCTGATGAGCTCTTTTTAATTTTATCGTATTTCGGGGGTAGTGTGGGTGCTGGTGCGGCAATTAAGGGATGATGGGGGGATAATACAAATAATGCTGTCTTACAGCAACTAATTAGCAACTAAATATGCCATTTGCAGAACTTCGATATCTTTACGAGAATCGAAGATACAGTATTGTGGTCTGCTAGGTTAAGACTTAATCTAGCAGATCGCATGTATCTTTTACAGGTGTTGAGCAACTAAATCGGGAATAGTGTAACTAATTAGCAACTAATGAGCAACTAAATATGCCGTTTGCAGAACTTCGATATCTTTACTAGAACCGAAGATATAGTATTGTGGTCTGCTAGGTTAAGACTTAAGCTAGCAGATCACATGTATCTTTTACAGGTGTTGAGCAACTAAATCGGGAATAGTGTAACTAATTAGCAACTAAATACCCAGTAGGTTAGATGTGCGCGTTGCGACCATGGTCTGCTAGCTTAATATACGTGAAGTTAAGCAACTTTCGCAGTGGTCGGTCATTGGATGGGTGACCAAAAATCTTATATCTCGAGTTCCTCCGTGCTTCGGAAGGCACGTTAAGCCGTTGGTCCCGGCTGCATCTGCAGTCGTTAGCACCCGCAAGCCGCACTGGGCCCGCGTGGTGGGTCATGGCCCAATCTTCCTATTCCATCCCTATGGAAGGCCTGTGCCCCAGCAGTGGGGACTTTAATAGGCTGATGCTATCATCGATTCGTGTGAATGTGAAAATTCAGCAGTGCCCCATTGGTGTAAGATCCGAACCTACATCGACCTTCACCGAGCTGATAACCGAATGAAACATATTTTATCATGACTATACTTATGGCGACACTTATTTGTTATATAGTATATAACAAATAAGTGACGCCGCACACGGGCCACCGACCACGAACACAAAACGCCGCCACCGGCATATTTCTTGTAGTTTTCATACATTTTATATGGACTTGCCACACACGGTACGCGCCGGTGGCCGCCACACGCTACAAATCGTCGTTGCTCGCTTTTTGTGGCCCGCACCGGCCACTTAATGTGCCGATACAAAACGCCGCCACACGTCACTCGCGCGATTCCGTAAGGTATCTTCCCTTACGGAGCTGTCAAAAATTCCTGTTTCGTCCTTTTAAATTTGTAACAGTAAATTTTAAGCACGTAAGAACTGAGGGCCCACTAACTGATTGGATTTCCTTTATTGCCACTGAGGAGAGATCAAATGCTTGTACGTAATTCTACAAATTACCTTTTAAATATTTACTGTTCATCAAAATTATTTAAACTGGTAACGCCTCTTAGGTGTTCGACGTACAACAGCTACAAATTTTATCCTTCCGGCTACAATTTTTAAAGATTGCTAAATCTTTATGTGTAGGAAATATCAGTTTTTCACAGTGGCCTCTCGGAGGGCCCAATGACAGACCTAATCCACTACCCCGTGGAGGCCTGTAACTCTTCTCACCGACAGACAGTCTTTTGTAAAGTGGAGGTTACTCCCCAGACGGGCGGGGTCGCCCTGTCTCAATACAGTCAGCTAGTTGCTAGTACATTGATAATGATAATTATGTACTTACGTTCCGAAATTTCTCTTGCTCTAAGTACTCAGAACGCGTGTCATCGACAAAACTAATTTATTTACTGAACATTAGAAGTTGATTGTTGAACCAACATGCACTTTTCACACTTGTCTTTTAATATTCTGATTTAACGAAGCAGAAAACATGAATATTCTTAGCTTCAATAAAAATATGAATGTTGTAGATATTTCCGTATCAATTGATTTACTGGCAATTTTATCTGCATTTTTTTATCTAATCGTTTATTATCCGTTGTGCGAATTAAACTACTATAATTTAGATATACTTATTGTATTAGATGTGTAGGATTACAGATTGCTAGTGGCCCGCCCTGGCTTCGCTTCTATGTAGACTTTAGTTATTGTTGTCAGGCTTGTATTCAGGCTCCTTTTGTGAAAAACGTCTAAAGGTATAATACCTAATTAATAAATCCTATTATAATATATTAGAGTTTTTTCGAGATAAACATATCTGATATAATTTTTATAAAGTAATAATAAAATTATATTTCATGACATATGAATAGGTATTTAATTTTAGTAAGATACATGTATAACAATATTTAATAGTTTATTTAAATAATAATAGTAACTTACAGGATGTCACATATTTGTGCAACTTATGATATTATTGTTTTTTGTACTATCTGTGGCATGCAGTAAAGAATAAAGAAATAAATGTCTGACTAATTGTGATATAGTTTAGGAGTTAGGACCCGTAGTACCGAATGCTTTGCTGTTAAAAGTTAGTCCCCCTTAGGTACCATTGGGTTATGTCCTTACTATTAAACGTATCTCGCGTAACACTTTACCAGAAAGCCATTTTGTCTTTCCCTCAAAACTTACCCGAAATCCCCCCAAAATACAGGGTTTTTGAAGAAAAAACCCTAATATTTATTAAAAATACAATATTTACTACACAGTATGAATTTTTGCAACATTATCCATTACTGGATCAACATCTTCGCACGCGTCGTCTTTCACTCCCTTGTTAATGTTCTTACATAACTTTGTTTTAATAATGTCATTAATTTACCAAGGACTAATTTAATTTACCAATTAAAAGGACAAGTTACCAAATTGCGACTTAGCAAAGCAATGATAATAGATAGTGTCGATTCGATTTGCAGTTTAAGCTACTCTACCTTTAACAAATGACTGACTTGCTTGATTTGACTGCCCGAGCGACTGAGCGACACGGATTGGACCAAAGAATACTTTTTTAAGTGGGCTTTGGACTTAGGGGTGTGAATTGGGCTTACTGAATGAACACAGTTCAGTGGGCCCGAATCTGGCATGATCCTTTGAACCTAATATAATTAAATTTGAGAGCAGTCTATCCTTGTGATGCTCTATACGGAATGAGAAGGAGAGGCTATTGATTGATTATTGATCGCGACTTTTCATGTTAAAAGTTTATGAAGTGGTTTTATTTTTATACTAGCGGCCCGCCCTCGCTTCGCTTCGGTGTAGAGCTGAAGTGTAGACAGACTACAGTTTCTGTTCTCAGGCTAATGACATTCATCTATGATTCTTCTTATACCTGTATGCAAAGTCTCAGCCCGATCGGTCTCATTCCCTATTTTATCCCCTTGGGGGTAAAATTGATCAAAATCTTTTCTTAGCGGATGCCTACGTCATAACATCTACCTGTATGCCAAATTTCAGCCCGATCCGTCCAGTGGTTTGGGCTGTGCGTTGATAGATCACTATGTCAGTCAGTCACCATGAGTTATATATATATAGATAACAAATGTAATAAAAAAAACCTGTTTCACCCAAATCCAAATTTCTTCCCCCCATTAATCCCCCAAAAATATTTACCCCCCAATTATCCCTACATCGCTTTATAAACCCCCCTAATTTGGGGGAATCCCCCCAATCTGGCATCAGTGATCCGCTAAAAACCCTGCGAATACCCTCAACACTGTTAAGTGCGGAACTGCGAGGTATTCGTTGAGGGATTTCACCGCGTCTCTGCACCTGACATTCTCTCGGCCTAATGGCCCTATTGGCCCCAGGCAGAAGCCTATGGGAGACGCAGGTGTAGTCTGGCGTGGAATATTGCTCACACCTCTGGGAGGGCTCTGCCAAGTACTTGCTCGATGCTTTGGATAGGTTACAGCGGCGCGCGATCCGCATCATAGGCGATGAAGAGGTAACTAAACACCTCGAGCCTCTTCAATTATGCCGTTACATGCCGTCTTTAAGCGCGTTTTATCGTCTGTACCATAGCGAATGTTTTGAAGAGTTATTCTCTGTTATTCCACCTTCTGGACACTATTCCAACGCGTACAAAGAAGTTTGGTGACTCATTTCTCGCACTATCCGTAAATGGAATACTCTGCTCGCTCACGTGTAGGGAACACCCTCTCACAACCTGGGATCCTTTAAAAGAGGCGTGAAGAAGCAACTTGCAGGCCGGCAGGGTGAGGATGGCTGTTGTCGCAGGTAGAACGGTAGAACTGTTGTACCAGCTATCTTCTCGTCTGGACTTCACCGTCACTTAACATCAGGTGGGGTGGAGTCATGTGTCGGACCTATCTATAAAAAAAGTATTTACTTTGGTGCCGAGAGGGCTGGGGCCCGGGGCGACAGGCCGCGAGGGACGGCAGAAGTCAGAAAGGTATTCATTACTGACCAGGGTTTATTACCCTTTGTTTGTCCAAATAAAATACATTGGATATTAAAGGGAGAAAAAAAACATTTTGTCCAAATACAGTACTTTTTATTCCACTATATTAGTATGTCAATATATTTTCGTTGCTTCTAGCAACTTTTAATAAATAATCACACACGACACGGCCATCAGGACCGCGGTAGCATAATGGTCAGTGCATTCGCTCGGATAGCGAAGGGTGCGGGTTCGAGTCCCGTCTGCTGCCCGGTCCGCGTGGAATTTTTCCTAGTAATATTTTCTTTCAATAGTGCTAACTACTATAAATTTGTAGTTTTTATTAGCATTGGGAAAGGACGTATAAAGCCAAACAGCCACGATAAAGTTGACATTTGCGGTTGAGTCCAGAAATGAGCTAACGACGACAGCGACATCTACCAACCGTCGTTCAGTTTTACGCAAAAAATCTTACTATCAACCTTTTTTGTATATTTTATGTAAAAATGAAACCTTTAAAAATCATATCACTCGAAATAAAGTATTTTCGCGTACTTAATCGTTGACATAAAGTACCTATATAGTACAATAGGGTATTTGCCAAGTTTTAGAAAACGATCTCGCGTTATTTACTAATGTTTATAGAGTCCATAAAAAGTGGATATTCATCATTATGTTGTGTATTTCGGTATTTATTTACCGAAGTAGTAAGTACTAAATCAAAAACTCTATTTTCAAGTTGCCGCGAAAAACGTATCTCTGGACAATATGGCGTCTCACTGGTGTGTGACGTCACACGAATGTCATATTAAAACGTGAAACCACACAATCTAATGTCACTTTAACCGGAAGTTTACTTGCGTGTGACGTCATTTTAGGCTCCACCAATCCCAAGCGTTTTGGGTCACGTGACAAAAGACAAGAAAACTATTAAACTATCTTTAAACGTGGGTTTTTAGTAAAATTATGAATATTTTTTCTGTAAAAAAAGTAAAAACTCCTGCCAACATTCATTCTAAACACAGATGCTAACAATTGGCACTTTATTTTGAGTACTGTCAAATACCCTATTACCAGAAATAACGTACAATACTTTATGATATGGTACGGGTAGCAACTGTGACCCATGTTTTGATTTGATTTACTGATTCTCATTGTAAAAAAATTAACAAGCCGATTTATTTCGTTTGTAGCGAGACAAACAAACAGCAATTGATTTGTATATACATACTTACCTAACACAGAAGATTTATCAATTTGTTCTCAACTGATTACAACCCGTATCAGTCTGTTAAAAACTTCAAGGCAAACCATTTTGTACGTAAATACCTACCTGATACGGTCGCTGGCTTTTTACAGGCCAGTTTTATTATTGTCCCCACTGCTGGGGCACAGGCCTTCCCTATGGATGGAATAGGGAGATTAGGCTATGATCCATCACGCGGGCCAAGTACGGATTAGCGGGTGTTAACAGCAGATGCAGCCGGGACCAACGGCTGAACGTGCCTTCCGAAGCACGGAGGAACTCGAGATAGAAGATTTTTGGTCACCCATCCAATGTCCGACCTCTGCGAAAGTTGCTTAACTTCAACGATCGCAGCGGACCCGCGCCATCGAGCTCCTCACATAAAAAGTACCCAGACAAAACTGAAGGAGAAAGGTACTTTAAATACTGCCCTCTGCAGCAGAAGGACAGAACCCCCTCAGGTTCGAGTGGTCTAGAGGCTGCAGACGGAGAGGAGACTCCCCCGTGGGGAGATGTCATCTGCCTGGAATACCTCTAGAGGCACTCGCCAATTCTCTGGTTGAGGTCCCCTTAGGATCTCGCCGTCTTCAAACCCGGTGACGCTGTAAAGGTCATCTGCGGCTAGGGTTACCATCCGTCCGTATTAGTCCGGACATGCCCTGACATTTAGGCTATAGTCAGGACTTTATCCATATCTCAAAATAGACCGGATTTTTAAAATTACATTGAATATGAATAATAAATGTCCATATTGATTTGAATACCATGCCATTGTAAGTAAATGAGTAATGTTACCATTTTCTGAGTAAAAAGTCCGGACTTTTTTCGAAATGTCAGGACTTTTGATATTCCTAAATGGTAACCCTATCTGCGACCAACAGCATACACACTCAAAACAATGGACACATAAGCAATATACCGGAATAGCAAATGACCATTATGCTGCCGCGGCCCTGATGGCCGTGTCGAATTCATGCTAGCCTTTCTTAAGCTGCAAGGCAGCGCCATTTCTTGGCATTGTATTGTACCCACAATGTGAGTACAAGTATTGAACATTAGAAAGAAGATATAGCAATTATAGTATATTTTTTTCTAAGCATGTAACTGCTCGATATATAAATCTAAAAAAATATAAAGAAGAATAAAAAATATACCTATAATTGCTATTCATTTGACACTGCGGGTGACCTATAACGCGAAGAGATGGCGCTGCCTTGTAGCTTAAGAAAGGCTATAAAGAATTCGACATGGCTATCAGGGCCTCGGTAGTATAATGGTTAGTGCATTCGCCCGGATAGCGAAGATGGCGAGTTCGAGTCCCGTCTGCTGCCTAGTCCGCGTGCAATTTTTTCTAACTTTATTTTTCTTTAGATTTAAATACATACATACATTCGCA